ATTTCTTCAGTTTGTTTAACTGCTGAGTTACATAATTCTTATTCTTAAATTTCTCCTTCTCAGTAAAACTTTGAGAGAAGAAACTGCTGTTAGAAGATGAGATTTTTGTGATCTTTGATTGCTCTTTTAAGGAAATTGTTCCCTCTGTGGAAAATAGGTTAGGCTACATGTCCAAAGCTGACAGATGTCTAAGGACAAGGGGAATATGCAAACTTCTCAGAAATCTTGTGACTTGTCACTGTCTTCTGGTGTCTAAATCATGTTCTGTTCTTATTTTTCTCCCTGACTGCACTGGAACCATCATGTCAAGAACTTCCTATTGGTATATCTAGCATCCACAGTATGGTGGAAGAAAGTAAACTGCTCCCTGGATTCTCACTCAGCTCACTCTGTTCCTTCCAACTTGTCCTAATTCTTTCTTCTCCCCCCATGCTAAGCGCAGCAGCTCCTTTTACACAGTAGCTTGTTAAAGAAGAAAATTCAGTTTCATTGCTCCTCTTTATTGTGAATATCTATCAAGGATGATGTTACATGAAAAACCTTTTAAAGAACACGAGGACTTATCTAGGACAAATTTAGGACAAAGTTATTTTTTGCTGTTATCTAGGTGACAATTATTTTTCTTTCTTCCTTCTAACTTCCCACTGAAATTCTTAATCAGATTAGTGGTATTTGTTAAAATACTGGAGACAGCTTCATAGTATAGATTTACTATTATCTGTATTTATTTCACTAAGATCTTTAACTTGGCTTAGAAATAAAATGCTTGGGACCTTTTTTGGCTGGGGCTGGGTGAAAGATGAGCACTTAAAAAGCTAAAAAAGGATTAGTTACATTTGTCTAATCACAGGTAGAACAGCAATGCAAAGGATGACTAGACAAGCAAGTAGTGCAAGGAAAAGTGATGGATTAGATGGAACAAAATTAATGTAATTAATGTGCTTGGATTTTACTTTTTTCAGTGGGTAACTTCAGCCCATCTACCCCACAATAGCAGTTCTTTAGCTTTCAGTAAAAACTACAATTTTTTTAGTACTTGGTCACAAAATATTAAAACTCATATCGCCATAAAAATACAAAGTCTAAAAGAAAAGCTCTTGCAGCAATAACAATAAAAATGTTTCTAAAATGAATAATGATTTTGCGGGAAACGCAGCAGTGTGTATTTTAGAAAAGCCCAATTGTGCAATAGATGAGCTGAAATGGAAAGTTAATCTTCCACGCAAAATAAAGACAAAGAAAATGGAATGTCTGCTCCAGGGACTCCATATAGTGTATAACTGTTCATTTGTCACAAGTGAGAAAATGTTTAATCCGTTTTGAAATGATGTATTCTCTCTTTATTTATCGTGTTTAGTGACTTTAAGAGTGTCAGTATGTAAAGTGTTTATCCAAGGAATGGATTTCTGGCACATGGATAAAATGAAAAGTGAAATGTTTAGCTCACAATAGGCATATGTTCCAAGATCTCTCTGAGTAAGTATCCTGAGATGAGAAGAAAGCACACAGGTCTGTGTTTATCTAGCTTACGCAGGCAGACAAGGAAGGCTCCAGCCTGGTATTAACACTGAAGTGACATGGAATGTCTTCACCAAACCCCAAACAATTACATCATTCCCTTAACAATATTGATAAAGTGCAATAAAAAAGAAGCTGGCACTTTCCAATTAGATCCTCATTGCTAAATACTTCAGAAACTGTGAAGTACTTGACAAGTCAAAGTAAAAAACACTGTTTGGGGGGGGGAGGGGAAAGAAGTAAAACAGGAGAGGGAGAGGAGGAAGAGGGAAAAAGATGCTTCTATATTTTAGGAGTCTGCAGTGTGTCTTTTTTTTTTTCTTTTTTAAATTTTAAACTATGTCCTCTGTCCCAAGATGCATAGCTATATGCTCAATTCACACAGCTGTATATAAAATTCAAATAACTTTTATAATTCAAATTTAGCATTGTTGAAAATTGGGAGATACAGAACGCTTTCCACCAAGCAACAAATCTGTTCTTTGTCTTTTGCATTTTCATTTACTTAGCTTTAAATAACTCTAACCTTTCAAGATGTGATTTTCTTTAAGCAAGGAGAAAAAATTGGAAACACCACTGTTTCCAGGTATCCTTAATACAATTTTAGAATGAGATAGAGTTTGATCACAGCATCTACAGCAAGGAGGAACCAAGATTGCATTAGAGTTATTAAAAGTAATGATAGCTGATGTCTTGTTTACTGTGCTACGATAAAAGGCGCAGTAGCAGCAGCAGCAGCAATATAATTTTGCTCACTTATAATCAGAAATGAGCTAGTTACTCCTGCTCTTGTACTTCATTTCTGAAGAAGCAACTGCTAAACAACCTGACTAGAATTAGCAGAAACAGTATTCAGTGAAGCTGAAGGTCCTAATTCTCTGCCTCTCTACCCCTATTCAGCCATATAGCTATGAAGGAATAGCATGTAGCTTTATTGCTTTCTTATAATACCTTCCCCAGTATAGAGTTCTGGTCTCCTTGGAAGGCTTCCATATTAGGGTCATTTTTTTTTTTTAAGAGAAAGTAAATCCAGGCTGTAACACTGATATCCCTTCCACTGAAATAGTTAAGATGATCTTTCTCTTTTTCTTCCCCTCTATTTGCAATGATTCATCTCTTGGAATAACAACTCAGGAATCATTCAAAAATTGAATTAGAGATGTTTGGTTTAGACCTGAGATGCAGTCAAATGATCTCAAATTCTTCCTGCTATCATTCAGTCAAACAGTGAAGCATTGG